TCGGTGCGCTGTGGCGGGAAAACCGGCATGGGAGGCGGCGGTCCTCGTCTGGGCTCGTCAGGGTCCGGGTGAACGGACTCTCCATCGGAGATGAGAGGGTCCACCAGCTCCTCGTCGGAGTTGTCCTCCATATATGGTCTTCCGCTGCTGGGGACCCTGGACGATGCTACTTGAGCCCACTCAGTGATGAGCCATCTATGCATGTTCCTTTGGATCACATGACTGCCATTGCAAACGCCCTGATACAGCAAGTTCAGAGAGAACCGGAGCAACATGTTAGGGCACTGGAGGTTGCTGTCGTGATAGGTGGCATTGTTCTCGTCCTGGGCCAGAGCGGGGATTAAGGTGAGGAGGAGTACCGCCGTTAGCATGACCGTGATGTAGCTGGGGGCCCAAATGGTCCATAATGCAATCACTGACGTCTGGTTGAGGCAATTGTATGAGGCTCGAGCCAGCCGATATGCTCCACGTAGGGGTCGCTGCAGCGATTCGGGGATGCCGACCCTGGCAGCCTGTGCCGTCCAGCACCTAGTCCAGCTCGTCGAGGGCGGGATTCTGCCGAAGGCACAGGACATTGAGCATTGCCCTGCCAAACACAGCATCAAAGCCGAGAATAGCAGTAAAAACAGCACACCGATCTTCATCCCGAAGAAGAACCCAGCTCTGGTACAAGATGACAAAGGCTGAGGCGTTGTTCCAGAGCCTGTCGCAGCGGAGCCTGAAGGCCAGTTGCAGTCGTGGCGACTGCAGGTGCCAACCTGAAAGGTAGATCCGCTGCTCCACCGTACGTCTGACATAGTCCTCAAGCGGCGCGGGCTCCCAGAAGTTACGAGGTATTTTGTTCCATCCGTGGATCTCCGAATCCAGGGGAGCCATGGCCGGTGTCGGGTTATTGGGGCCTCCGAAGTCCTATAACCCTTGCGATGCGGGTCTGATGTCAGCTCCAGCCCCCAGAGCCCCGAAGGCAACCGGGAAATCAACCACCGAAAAATCAAGATATGGAGGCCCCAA